AAGCAGTGGTATCAACGCAGAGTACTAAAACACAGCAACCAAGTAACAAGTGACTGAGAAATGCCCCATACAGTTACAAGATGTGCAGCGAACCATACGAGAAATAAGAAACGATGAAAGACAGCCCGAATAGCATTAGAACGTTCATTTACATTCAAAAAATGTGTGGTGCTAAAACACTGCACGCGAAAGTGCACACATTTCAAGCAAACTTCTGCTTCAATCTCATCATATGCAGCTCATTCATTTTCTGAACAAGAGACACGAGCACGCTTCCCTACATCTGGTCAACAAGTTTACGGGTGCGTTTCAACGCGTTTTCTTACACTACTATTAAATTCTTGAGAAAACATGTCCAACTCGCGTTGGTTCAGCAAGCTCTAACATGTTTTTTCGAGAACCTATTAGTAAATCAAAAACGCGTCAGAACCCACTCACGAACTTATTAATCAAACGTACGCAGAGCGTGCTCGTGTCTCCTAGTTAGAGTGAATGTTATATCAGCTAGGCAGCGATCAAGTAGCTTCGAATAGCTTCCATTTTGAAGGAATCGTCATTTGCAAAGATCTGTTCGTCCACTCCACGATTTGTGCCACCCCTGCTCTGGATTCTCTGACACGCACACGGATGGCTGAGACAGGGCTCGGCACGAGGTGCCTAGTTGAGAATGCTAAAAACGAAGTCCCCTCGACTTTTGCGAATTTTTACGAAGTCCCCTTTGACCTTAGACCATAATCCCTAAAAAAATCTCCAAAAAATGAAACGTCAACCAGAAGAAAACGTCGCAAATTCGTGTTTTTTCGGTCACAGAAACGAAACCCCCTTTGCTTTTGCCCAAAAACGATATCCAGCTTGCTTGTAAGCCACCTGTGCCGAGCCCTGGGCTGAGATGTTGGCGACATGCAGCAACATGTTGACTTCAAAGCTGTTGTTGCTAATATTTGTTGCATGTTGCCAACATATTTGCCATGCGTGCTGTAGGTCAGAGACACAGAGCGGGGGTTGTAGAACTTGTGGAGTAGACGATAAAATCAAAAATTAAGTCATTCAATCGATCGATACCTTTTGCCCGCAATATGACTGCAGCTGCTGCCGCGATTGCAGTATGAAACAACCCATAAGAACTTCGATCTATCGCATTCCGCTGCGCTGGATTTGACTCACAAGGGAAGCATGCTTGGTCAAAGTGGCCTTTTGTGATGAGATGCACACCGTCATGGAGGGGCGCTGACTCCAAATTTGTCTTCCTTATCTGCGTAGCGTTTCTGAGTGATGAAAAAGGGTTTGTAGGTGCAACAACTTGGATATGAACTTAGGATAACATTCACTGAAATTTTTCTGGCTCAAAAAGACAGCGGTGGATGAGGCTATATCTGAATTAAGAGTATTTATTGCGCGGAGTGCCCTGACAATGATCACTGCATTCGAGGCTCTGTTAAGCGCTCTCCCATAGCAGTGGCTGACTGAGGGGGCGAGGGGAGCCACCCCCCGAGAATGGGGAGCGAGAATTTTGTAATTTACTTACATGGATTAGAGAAATGTGCAAGTGACTTGTTTATTCTTTTAAAACAATTAAAATATTTTTTAAAATTTTTTGAGAATATAAATCAGCCTGGTAAAAATTTTTTTTACGGGGTCAGATCATAACCTCTAAAATCTAAAAAAAGGGGACGTGGCGACAGCTACGACCCCTTCTTCTAGATTTTAGAGGTTATGATGCCGCATTAATTTTGAGATGCAGCCCAGAAAATTTTGTGGGTGTGTGGCTAACGCCATGCATCTACATTTCTGGAAGAATTTTTGCCGCGCCCCCGAACAGCAATCCTGCGACCGCCTCGTTGTAAAAATAAACTAATCTAATCAAGAACTGTTTTGTGGAGAAGAAGAATAGGGTAGAGGGATCAAGTCTCGAGATTAGCTAACTCGTTAGACTTGACATGGAGGTCTCGGGTTGGACGAACGAAATTCTTGCACAATTTTTCTTACTAGGAAAGTTTCAAAGCTTCGATTCTGCAATCTTAGCTTAATCCCACCTCCGGCACCAGCTCCCATCTCCTACGCTCCATGTAGTTATTTTCTCTTATTTTCCCCTTACTTATCTCATTTTCTCATTTTCTTTCTTATTTTTTAGTCAGGCGATGAGTCTAAGTTTTGTATCCATATGGTAATCTTAGTCAAATTAACATGTTCTATCTACTGATATTTAACTATCCTTTTTTGCTATTTCACGAGCCCTGATCTCCCGCGGTGTAACTCTCTAGAATGAGATTCTGCGAGCCGCGATTTCGTGGGGCTGTGATATTCCGGAGCTGTGATTTATTAATTTTCTATATTTTCCTTTCTTTTCAACTAGGATACCCTAGATTTTGAAGCACACACACATAACTCAATGAGTCTATCGCCACAGGCGGCATTATATATGTAAACATATCACAAGTGGAAAAAGTACTGTGAGTCTATTTTTTCCTATAACTGTCACTAGTGAGAAGACCATAGTGATAAAATTTTCAACTTCTCAAACGGGAAAAGCACTGTGAGCCCCACCAAATTAGGTTTTCCCATGTAGAAAAAGTACCGTGAATGACTTTGCCTAAAAGGATTTTTGGTGGCCGTTTTTCATGAGACGCAGACTCTGTCATCAGACGTCGTGACAGTCGCATGGGTGGTGCAACATCAGATGAGCTGTGCCACCAGGTGACCGGCGGTCCCTTTCCCAATTCTATCCCCTTCTATATGTATACGTTGAAGGATAAACTAATCAATAATTGTTTAGTTAGGAAGAAGCAATATAAAATGGTAGAGATCAAGTTCCGAGATCAGCTTACTCGTTAGACTTTGACATATCCAACGCTTCCTGTGTCCCTTTCCTGAAGAATCAAACCTTCGGACTCTGTACCAACACATCAAAAGCAGAAATGAGCTGTGTTGGGGTGGTATGCTCGTGGAAAATCTCAGCAGAGTGTACGACAAAAACGCCCTCCTCGGTGCTCGATTCACATGTTTCTCTATGGAATCCACAAGGTAATACCATAAAACGGCACTATTGCTCTATTGGAAATGCCCTATTGGAAATGAACTGTACAAGAGTACTCAGAAATGGATACACACAGGGCTCGGCACGAGCTGGCACCAGGGAATTTTGAAAACGAAGTCCCCTTTGAAATTTGCCAATTTTTACGAAGTCCCCCTTGACTTTTGGGAAATTTTACGAAGTCCCCTTTGATCCTCAACGATATCCCCTCTAAAATCCTAAAAAAATCCCCAAAATCCCCCAAAAACGAAACGTCGACTAAAAAAAAAAAAAAAAAAAAAAAAAAAGGTCGTCGCCGCCAATTTTGCGTATGTCTTCGCCCACAAAAACGAAACTCCCTTTGCTTTTTGCCCCAAAAACGATATCCAGCTTGCCCCGTGCCAGCTGGTGCCAGGCCCTGGATACACATATCCCATGTTCTGTGCCTAATCTGTTAGTCGTAAACAGAAAAAGTTTTTGAGCTTTGTTTTGTTTTGTGCTCATGGATCGCTGAAAATTCGCTTGCTTCTGGCATTTCCAGTAAGGTCAAGCGACGGGAGCGACGGTTGAAAGATTTTCAAGTGGAAGTTCATTACTCTGGTCATTGCGCCCATTGTAGTCCATTGTGCTAATTGCAGCATATAAAAAAGTGTAAACGGTGAGTGCATACACGCTTTTTTATGGCAACCACCCTTTCAACTGTACGTTATTGACTTTTTATGAATAATTTTCTTCTCGAATTGTCAGTTTCCACATTGTCTATAGCGCAATCAACATTTCTTTAGTCACAAAAAACAACTTTCGCATCATTTTGAAGCCAAGTTTGTGCCTGTCACATTTTGGAAAGATTTTTTTGTTCATCAGAACTCTTAGTGACACAACGGAAGTTGCAAGGACCAATTCTTAACTTTTACTGGCGTTCGCTTCGGGACCCGCCGCGGTTTCCCGCCAATGGAGGATTTTTTGAATTGAGCTAACGATCCTTCATATTTGACAGGTAGGAGAATATTCGCATTGAATTCTACTTTGGAAATGGTGACCTAAAATGACTACGTCATAGTATGAGTCACGTGCCAGGTCGTTTCGGTATCAATTTCGCTTTTTCAAACGATCATAACATTTTGAAGAATAAAGCTCCTCGAAATCTTGGAAGCATTCGATGCAGCTTTTCATCCTCTTTCGGATGGCTGTTCTCATTTACTTTAAACAGCGAGCTCTTAGAAAATTACAAATGACTTGGACCCATGGTTTTGCCAAAGCCAAATCGCTCATTCTCTATATTGCTATAGAGATCCTCCGAAGAAGTCCAAGTAGGAATAAATAGAACCCTTACGTGGTACAAAATATTTTTCCTCTCCCATACTTGCTTTTTGAAATTTCTAAAATCAATTTTTTAACGCTACCAAATTTGCACTACACGATTCATAACACGCAAAGACTGGGCGCCGTTGCGTCCGGCCAAGATAGTTCTTGCATGGGAGAGACAGTAGATGGTAAGAGAAACGGAAGATCTCTCGATCGGAGAGACGCCGATACTTCGCAGTCTTTGCGTGCTATGAATCGCCTAGACTTGTGAAGAACATATTTTTTTCTTTGGTGATGTAATAACCTATGCTGCTCACAAATTTTTTGTTTCTTTCAAACACTAAAAATCGCATGAAGCTATGAAACGACGTTCAAATTGTTCTCCACATAACTCAAAAACCGTGTGCTTTTGCAGAAAAGGAAGGTTGATCCAGCGACGCTTGTTCTCGAGAATGGGTCGCGAAAAATTTGGAAATGGTAGTCCTAGTAATGAAAATGCGCAAATGAATTGTTTTGCATGTAAACAATCAATATTGTATCGGTGGTTAGTAGGCTTTACAGTAGCCTGAGGCGAAATAGCGCCTCTTGATGTGTGTTATACAGAACACATTAGCTGTTGAAGCTTTATGAACAGTCGACTAGCACACGTGGGTGCAATGGTAGAATGCTGACCATAATAGGCGTGATGGAGTAACATAACACACTATCACAGCAGGTCATGCTTATGGCATGACCTGTAAGGTACTTCGGTGAGGATAAAGATACGGTGTTAGGAAGTGCCGACAATGTCGGCACACTCCGGCCAGCGAGAGGAAAGAGAGCAATGAAATGAATTACAAGTACAACATATATCTATGCGATAAAGGGGTGTCGGTTATATCGGCACACTCCGGCCGGGCATGATGATGAAAAGGAAGAGAATAACGGAACAAATCTACATCCGTATCGCGTACTCCATTTGTCAGGATCACGTGATGGTCGTTGCCGTGAAGGATCGCTAGTGATTTTGAAGCAGCTAACGGCAGAATTATCGTTGCAGCATTGATGGGGCGATAGAAGGAGAAGCAACTGTAAAATGTGATTGTGACGACGTCTTTGAAAATCCTTCTCCGGCGGCGGGTAATATGCAGAATTTTGAGCAATGTTTCGTTTGTCGTCGTCCTTGCATTCGAGAGCTGCTTCACAGAGAGACCATTAGTTAGATCATTGTACTCGTCTGCCTGCGGCAATCTCGGTATCATGACCATCCTCGGATGCTCATTTGCAATAGTTGGCGAGGTGCTGTCGACATCTTCTTCACTGTGAATTTCGTTAAGGTCATCTTTACCTGTTTCGTCGTTGTCGGGGCCGTAGATCACTGCTCAGTCCTTTGTGTGAAACCTCCAGCTGGTTGTTGTCCTCATCGTTTCCTTTGAGCAAAGTTTGTCCGTTTGAATTTTCCGTGCAATTTATAAGCCTTGCGTTAGAAAACTTCCTTCCGCTTCCTACTAACTCTAGCATATCATCTGCTATGCGTTCTTGCAAGATGAATAGAAACCTTTTAGCGTCAAAAATGGTTTCAAAAAATTTTATCTCTTCTTCCAGCGCATCCCATTGCTCCGCCATTAACTTCTTCGCAGCTTCGGATTCAATTTCCTCATTTCCTCATTTCCTCATTCTCTCCATCAATATGTCGTAATCCATTTTTAGCGATTCAGTGGCATCTTCAACTTCCATTTTGCACCTCGCTAGTGAATCCAGATGTTGAGCGCATAATTCTTGCCGCTCTCGATTGCCATCTGGAAGAATAATTTTCTCACCAAGGCAGGCGTACTTCTGCAATAGTTCCGCGAGTTCCGTGGTGGATATTCTGAATACATCTATGAGGAAAGGCGAAATCCTCATCGCTGTTGTAGTTGTGCTGCTTTTTTGAGCAAGCACGTATCGGTCTTATTTGGCCGATGCACCAAATGTATCGGTGGTTAGTAGGCTTTACAGTAGCCTGAGGCGAAATAGCGCCTCTTGATGTGTGTTATACAGAACACATTAGCTGTTGAAGCTTTATGAACAGTCGACTAGCACACGTGGGTGCAATGGTAGAATGCTGACCATAATAGGCGTGATGGAGTAACATAACACACTATCACAGCAGGTCATGCTTATAGCATGATCTGTAAGGTACTTCGGTGAGGATAAAGATACGGTTGTTAGGAAGTGCCGACAATGTCGGCACACTCCGGCCAGCGGGAGGAAAGAGATCAATGAAATGAATTACAAGTACAACATATATCTATGCGATAAAGGGGTGTCGGTTATATCGGCACAAATATCGTTTTTGGCGAAAGCCACTGCACTCGTGGATGAATCCGTCTCCATCCTAGGAAATTCGTGGACAGCCCCTAGTAGCATGCTCCTGTTTGGGATGAATCGAAGAGTTTTTGAAGTCAAGTTCTAAACCAGAGAGTGGAAGTTTTAATGAACATAACAAGAGACATGATAAATTCTTCTGTTACTACTAAGTCAACTCTTGCTTTGAAAAAAGTTCTGTATTTCGGGTGATGGGAATTTTTATCAGCCTCTAGGCTCTATGGATTATAACTGTATGATATAGCGCTGGTTCAAAAAGAATGGCAATATTATGGAATTTTTCTTCTCACACTTTGTAAGGACATACATGCAGGATAAGTGGTGGTCATTGGTCACATCATAAAATTTTGACGTCATTACGGCGATAATTGAAATCAATTTAAACGTTAATTGCTACATAGATTAGGTAATTGACGCACAAGACGGGACGTAAAAAGCTCGTAAGAAGGATCAAAAATGTACTGTAAAGCTGATTTAATCGGTAATGTATACAAAGCTGTCTTATTGATGGTGTAAAGCTGTGTGCTGACACAAAGTAAAATTCCTGTTGTCCACAGCAATTTTCTTGTGTGTCCCACAAATGGGCACATCCGCTCTTTTGCTGGCGATGCAAGAGAACATTGTGAAAAACCTTGTGCGGTTGAAGCCACGGGCAGTGCTATACACAAAGTTTCCACTTGTTATCCGAACACAACACAGAAAACGAAATTTTCTTGATTCAAAAAAACCAACTCAAAGCAATTCCTGTCGTTATAATTGCGGCTAAAAAGGGTACATAGTAAGCTGGATCGAGTCATCATGTAAACACATTTTGCTAAAATTTATTCGCTCGAAAAGTGCACTAAGTGAACACATTATAATAGAAGACAAAGAAGCATGTAATGAGAGGATAGGGAACAAAGAAAGCTAATACATTTAGAAATTAAAGACGCATCAATCCATTGGGCAGTCAATTGATTTCAACTTTCTTTTGAGCACTTGACTATCAATCGAGTTTAGAACGTAAGAATGAGCGTGTAAACATTTTACACCCCAGAAAATTGAAATGTCAAAGGTTAGCATAGATCTGCTTTCTTTTAATGGGGTGCTTTCTTTTAATGAAGGCTACCAGTACATGGCTCTATGTAAGGAAGTATGCTGTGTTTTGAGTAGGATAAGGTTTTCAGTGTTGTAGGCCAATCGATAGCGTGAATAGAAATACAGAGACTGAAAACTCCTCATGAGTACTTCTCCAGAGTTGAAGGTTTGATCAGCTGTTTTGCAGGTAGTCAAACGCGCCATCAAAGTACCAAAAATCCGAGACTTTCGATCTTTTACTGTATGTTCTTTGTAATAGAGGAATTTCGTCAGAAGCCCTGAAAAGACCTAAGGAAATAATGTTGGTGGGTTTTTTAGATTGGCTAAGGTACAACGAAAAATATCAGGTTGTAACGAAATTCCCGGGCAGTTTCGGAAATATCATTTTCAAACTCATTTTTTTTCGCGCTCGGTTGAACCTTAGGGACAAATATTTTATACGATTGAAGTCTAAGCTTTCCAAACTTGCATCCAGTTTTTATCGATGTCCAACCGTATTTGACCCACACACCAAAACAGGAAGGATGAAAGTTTTACATTTTTTTGTCGCCATTGTTTCGCACTGAACAAAGAAAACCATCTAAGAGTTGGTCACACAGAATAAGGAGGCTGTCCACTTCAATACTGCAGCTGTGCTGGGATTTTACACTACGCGCACAGAAATTGCGAGCTCTCAAACTTGCGTTTAAGCGTACGTCTTCTCGCACTTGGCGTCGATTTTGTGAAAATCGTCAAGCCTCGGTGATAGGTCCAAAAGATGTGCAAGACATTACTCCTACAATATTTGCAGCAATCACAGGTTTGATTCATTCCATGAAAGAAAGGAAAACTTCAAACTCATTTACTCAAGAAATGGGGCATTTTTACGGTGCAAATTGGCCGATTTTTCGATTTTCAAAAAAAAAAGTTACAGGCTGTACTCTAAAATTGTGACACGGTCTATAAACAGCTCCAGCACAGTTCTACATAACCACCAGATATGAGCTCTCCAGTTCCCTTCGTGCCTAAGAAATCCCTTCACTAACAGGGCAGATAAGTCGACCTTTTTTTCTACTAAGCATGCTGGTGGCCCGAATTAAAGCGCTCAGGACCAGCAAAGTAGGCGTACCTTGTAGATAACATTGCGTTTGCAGCAAAGTTTGCAGTTCTCAAAAAGATCGGCCTTCTTGAAGTTACACCAGTTTAGAAATAGATTTCGCAAGTGCTTGGGAACTTTCGTTACAACCTAATACTATCCTAAAGGTAGGTACAGCTCGTTACAGAATGCTAGGATGTAAGTATAAGATTAACTGTGAAGAGTCAAAATGTGATTGAATCTCTCAAGGACTTCTCCTCAGTTTTGACATACGTGAAAGTTATGCTGATCGTTTGAATAAAAATGAGACGCATACCTAATGTTCTCTTTTTTTGATGGATTATGAAGTAGGGTTACTTTGAATTGATCTTGTATATGAGCTGAATCATAGGTGCGATAGGGGGAGTCGGGCCCTCTCCAGGTGAAGGGGGTCTCTGCTACTCCCTTCCTTGTAACGCGAAGGGGGTAAGTGAGCCCTGAAAGCAAAATGCCTCAACAGGTTACACACCATTCGAAAGCTGAGGTCATATAGAATCGACATAGACCATCGGCTTTTTTCTAGATCTTTTGTGCCGCGAGAAATGACGGATTTTATGTACTTCATATATCAACTAATTTTTGTCCTCACTTTCTGCTCTCCAAACGAATGCTACGAGAAAGTAGACGGTCTACGTTTGTTAATGAAGACTTGCTCTGTAATGCAGATAGATAACCAGCAGTGATTAGATCTTCGTTTGGCAGAAATCTGCTGTTGAAAATGAACATGATTTCAGATAAAATGCAGTGTATCTCTCGGTAAAGGGCGACTAGAAAGAATTCGACTGTCTACGTCGAGTCCCCTTTTCCTGAGCTCTCGAATGGTATATAGAATGCTGAGCGAGAAAACTTGCCAGTTTCTGAAAATGGTGTGGAGGTATTTACTATTAGCTTGCTCCACCCAGCTCCCTCAATGTATTGGCTTTTATCGGTCACCAGAGCAGGTGCTTTTTAGAGCCGGGAAGCAAGAAATCCCTAATATGCTTTACACCGTTCGAAAGCTGAGATCATGGAGAATCGACGTAGGCCGCCTCTTTTTTCATAGCTTTTCTGTAGAGCGAGATACGAGCAATTTTATACGCCCACTCACCAGCTAATTTTATGTAATTAATTTGTAATTTATTTTTAAAAGAAAGAACAAAGATTAAAAAAAGAGACGGTCTACGTTTACTGACAAGGTCTTGATCTGTGATGCTGTTAGAAAATCAGGCACCTTTATCCATTCTTCACGCAGAAATTTCTCGACAAAAACATACATGTTTTTGGCTAAAATCCCATGTAACTCTAAGTAGAAGCGAGCTAGAGAAAAAGAGACAGTCTACTTCGATTCCTTTTTTTGTGGGCTTTCTAATGGTATAGAGGTTGTCGGGTGAAAAAACTTGTGTTTTCTCAAAAATGAGGTGGAGATATTCAATAGTAACTTGCTCCACCCCGCTGCGGCTTTCTATGGGTTGCCGGAGCAAGACTTTTTTGGACTGGGAAAGTTTTGTGCACCAACACCCTATAAACCATTCGATAGCTAAGAACACGAGGAATCGACCTAGACCGTTTTTTTTCTTTCGTAGCTGCTCTGTGAGGCGAGTTACGAGCAGTTTTATTTAGCTACAATATCAGCCAATTTTGGATAATTATATTTTCAAACCAAGAAGGTCTTTTTCGAACATTTATATATGAATCAAAAGTATGAAAAACGAATAATCTAACTGCTTTTTTGTTTGTTATTATTCTCTCTAGTGAAAAGAGATATGGTATGATTTCTTGTCAGTAAACATGCATCCATCGCTAGTCGGTTCAGATTTTTCTACTCTTGCTCAACTCTTTTTTGCACAGTATGCATTCATTGATAGAATGTTAGTTATTCAAAAAATCAGCATCCTTTTACATTTTGTTATTTTGTCGTTTCGTTATCAACGCCCTTTGAGCGCGCAGAAGGTCTTAAGCATGAGTTTTTAAAAGAAACGTTGGA